CGGCCGCGGAGCCCGCAGGCGTGGGGGTTCCCCTCTAAGAAGCGTTGAAAGCCGTATATGAATGGTTGCGTGTTATTAAAATTCTGTTCTATGCGAGACAAGAGTGGGTGCGTCTTTGTGTAGTCGTTACTCTGGCAAACGCTGTAGGGCTGGTGCTGCGGAGCGCTGCCCGGGGCCGGTCTGCGCCATCGCTGCGAGATGGATTTAAGGCACCAGCTGGAGCTGTTCCCTGACTGCAGCGTGACTCTCCTCCTCTTTAACCACGTGAAAAATGCCGCTGCTCTAAGAAAAAAAGCCATGGAAGGATCCATTGAAGGAGCATTAATAAACCCTGCAATGGTGAGTGAACGCTTGCGTCGACCTGTTTGTACTGCGTTAGGGTTTTGAAGGCAGTGTGGAAGTCCTTCTCTCTGGGAACTCTGTGGAAGACGACCTGCGCTTGTAATCCCTGTCACACGAGTTGCTACACACGTACTTCGCTTTCTCAGCGCAAATGCCCCTCCTTTGATTTCATTACAGAGTCGTGCAGTGTAAGGGTTCATCTGTGTAAAAGAGCCTTGGCAGGATTGGCCAAAACCATTGTTGTCTTGACCCGCCTCACATCCTGCTTGGTGGAGCTATTTAAATCTACTTCTATCTGTAAAAGGTAGTACTAATTGCTTAATGCTGTCAAAAATCTACTATTTGGAGCCTTTGTTCTCATTTAGACACATAACTAGTTTCTGAATCTAGTCTTTTTTGTTAGAATTCCAAAGCAGTAGTTAGGGAAGGGAAAAAAAGAATCTACTCTGGCAATTTACTGACAGATTTATTAATGTGATTCTTTTTTCAAAAGATTTCAGTAACCTGATTGAGAGAGTGTAATCTTTATGTCAAGTATTACCCCACGCAGGAAATAATCACGTTGACTTTGGAATAGCAAGGATTGCTAAAATAACTAGCAGAATACTGTTTTGCTCACTTCTATGATTGCAGAATTAGGCTATCAAAATTAAGTGGTCAGGATTTTTTCAGAGTTAAAAATAGTGTGTTAAATTTCTGTTTAACTTCTTCTGTTGTGTTTTACAGATTGTAGATCCTTTTCAAATTCTTGTGGCAGCCAACAAAGCAGTTCATCTACACAAGATAGGTAAAATGAAGACCAGAACTCTCTATGCAGAAATTATTTTCAGCCTTTCACCAAACAACAATGTAAGTTTTACTGAACAAATGTCTTTTTTGCCAGAGAAGCTTGCTAAGATCCATGCAGCCAAACTATACGTATTCACTTAACTGTTTACCTGGCTACTAATAGAAGTTACTGCTATTTTTAATAACACTAATATGCTGTTATCTCTTGTAGCTTGTCAGAATTCCCTTAATGTAACACGTGTGTCAATTTATACTCTTGGTTTATTTGACCCAGTAACTGAAAAGATTGTTTATATGTAGTGAGAAAGTGACTCATGATATTTGATATTTTTCATCTTTTCTTAAGATTTCAGATGCATTTAAAAAGTTTGGCATTTCAGACAGTGACACAGCAGTACTCATTGTTCTGATTGTGGACAGAGAAAAAACTGTAAATCTGGAAGATATAGCATCTCAGGTAGAAGGCCAACAGGTTTCTCTAGATGAACTCCCCCAACTAACAGACACTGCCAAAGTTAAAAAGGTATGTAGCCAAAAGAGATGACTGGTGTAGGAAAAAGGGATTGTTTATTTAGTTGTCTGATTAAATATCAATGGACATAATTAACTTAGGGTCTGTATTTCTTTAGCACAACTGAAAGCTTGTTTTAAGTGAACCTTAATTATTTATTTCTTATAATTTTTTTACTTGAAAAAAGTTCTAGTTGTCATACCCTGACATCACAAATTTTAAGTCTTCAAATTCGTAACATTGTCAGGAAGTTGGAACATAAAAATAAATTCCAGATTGCTGCCTACCATTCAGGCACTTTTCTTCCTGTTTTCTCAGGCAAATACCAATTTAATTAAAAATAAATTTTCATTCCTGAACAGTTTCATAATCTTAGGCACATAAATAGTCCCAGCGTGTGCGACTAAAATACAAATGTGTTGATAAGCTGCTAGGAGCTGTGTTAGGGCATGTGTGCTCTTAACAGATGACCAATGCTAGATAGGTACCTTGAAGCATATGTGTTTCACTTGATAAAATTCAAGTAACTTAAATCATCTTGATCATGTCCATCAAGGTAGTGATGGGAGACATATGAATAAAATTGGACAAATCATAGCATATAACATGTGGAGCTAAAAGTGCTGCTCTCATTCAGTTTCTTAGCTTTCCTTTATGTCTCGCGGTTTCAGAATTTGCTTGGTTCCTCAGTCCCTATTTTGTCTTGCAGTCACAACAAGATAGGAATTTCCAATGTAAAACGTGGGGGAGAGAGGGAAGTCTTTTCCTGTGTACATCGTTTTAGAAGATATGTGGTCAATTTTTTTCTTCCATATACAGCTTTTATGTTTTTCTTTTTTTCTGCAGATGTACAAAGTTACTCCGCAGGAGGAAAAAATCGGCACCTTATTGGATAGTATTGTTTGCAGAATGTCAACAAAAGATGTTTTATGAAAATGTGGAAATAAATTTTTTTTAAAGGAAAAAGAGGGCTTTTTAAGATGTAAAAACACTTCATTGCAATTCATTCTGCGTTTCAGAGAAAGTGGTGTAGTACTGAGTAGTTTGATGACATCTGAGCTTTAACCATAAACGAGCAAGCTTGGATATGGGGGTAATCTGAGCTATATTCTAAGCACAGAGAGCAATTCTGCCGTGCAAAGCAGAATTTGCCATTGGCATTTCTGTCCACTTTCTTAACGAGAAAAAAATCACTTTTGCCAGTACCGTAAGTTGATCATAAACAGAAGGCTTGGAAATCTACTTAATTTTCTCTATCATCAAATGTTTTGCTAGTTCCCAGATAGGATTCAAACATTGTAAATCATTTTTATTAACCCTTCCCTGATCTGTTTTGGTTTGGCACCCATGATGGGTGATATCCTTTTAACGATACTACTGCCAGAAAAGGTATGAATACTATGGCACGAAGTATTGCTGATGGACTAGAAAAAGGAAAGTTTCCATAAACTATCAGCAGCGCCTCCCTCTTTCTGCTAATGAGATAGAGTCGCTCCCCACCTTTTGGGAACAGGAAGGGGCGGGAGGGGCACCACGGCAGCCAGCGGTGGGGACAGTGTGGAGCAGGGGCGTCAGAGGTGTGCAGAACAATGAATAAGGCCAGAATGGATGATGCTATGGTCGTGTTAGCACCTGACAATCTGATGTCATCAGATGCAGCATACTGCTGAGATACTTGTGTGTTGCTGTGGTACCTTAGTGTTGGCATTAAAGGACAGTGAGAGGTGCTTTTACTTTATAACACTGAATTATGCATGGTGATGCTGGCTTTCTAGGGCCTGGTTCCAGGTGCAGAATTCACAGAGAAATTTGCACCAGAGATTTATTCACTTAAATTGTCGATATAACTTACATAGCATTCTGAAAGGATCGTTGAACTCATTTTGTTTGGTTGAACCAGTGTCAGGAAAGGCCATCAAAGGGAACTAAAAAGAACATTGATTTCCAACAGTCACCAGGTCCAACAGCCCTGCATGAGTATCATTTAATCACATGCGGCATCCTGTTTAAGAAAAATTACTGTCCTAATTAGGTAGAAATCCATACTGTTGGTTATTGTTATGCTGGTTTGATTTTGGTTAATTCTTTCCTCAATTAAAACACAGTACAAATACTGGCCTTTTCTTACCAACCAAATCAATGGCAAAATACTTATCAAGTACCAAGGGAACTACAAGGTTTATCAAAATAAATGATTCAGGAGAAATGGTTGTGCTGATTTCTTGGTTTAAAGATGGCTTTACAGAATGTTTCATTCTCTCTAAAGGGAAATGTGAGGCAGTAGTAAAAAATGGAGCTTGGAAGGGCTCGAGTCTTTTGAAATAAGATGTGCGTAACATCAGCATGTGAGAATGACCATGGAAAATAAAAGACTTGTTTTCCTTTTCTGACAGTCCAGTTGGTACATGGAGTATATCATCGGATTTGCTAGCTGAACTGCTGACATTGTTTTTGGTAGCTTAAAATAACAGCAGACAGGTATGCTTAAACCACAGCCTTTTTTGAACATATAAAACATCAGTCTGGTCTGTTTAATGTAGGAGAAATATTAATAAAAAGACGGCTGCATAACAATTGATACACAAGTTCTAAACATGGGTTTATATTTATAAAAATATAAGTTGAACTCTTCTTGCTAGCATATTGTGCTTAAAGTAAGTTTCATATAGGTGCGAAGGGTAATATATACGTGTACAGTGCAAACAGGTACATGTTATTCACAAAGCCATGTTCTGTACATTACCTATTAAATTGCTTCACAGGTTCAGTTCTCCAAGTAGCAACAGTTCAAGCAGTTCAAGTAAACTGTAATATGCTGAGACCATTTTTTGGTACTTCCCTGGGTATGGATAATTGACACAAATATTCCTTTAACTATTTGATGAAGAAAGCATATTGCTGCTATAAGGATGAATCCTTTCTTGACCAGGCTCCCCAAAATGCCATTAGAAGGATCATGACAATCACTGTGTAAAGGGTATGGACTGTAGCGTATGGATCATGCTGGTGCTCGAACCCAGAGGTACTGTGCCAGTTCTCACTTTTGTTCCCATTGGTTTTCTGTCTGTGAGCACGGAGAGAATGTATCCTGCCATAACAAAAAGCAAGATTAGGATTAAAAATGATTCTTTTTTATTAACAGTTCAATAACGTTTATAATGAAGTCCAGAGTGTGCACTGTATCATTGACTAGATTTGGTAAAGAGCTCTTCAAACTGTATGGGGCTAATAAAGTAATTTCCATAATTGGAAACGCGAAACATTTACCAGCCATTTGGTATCCCTCTCCCACTGACAGCCTGAGAGACTGAGTGTGTGCTTGTTAGAGGACGTACAGCGCTCTTACTCTTCACTGTTGATACAGATGAGTTGTATGAGAAAAAACATACCCTTTCATTTTGCAATATTATGAAAGTGGCAGGGTTGAGAGACTGGGTATGTGCTTGTTAGAGGACGTACAGCGGTCTTACTCTTCACTGTTGATACAGATCAGTTGTATGAGAAAAAACATAACCCTTTCATTTTGCAATATTATGAAAGTGGCAGGGTTTAAAAAAAATTACCAGTTTCCGAAGCTTTAATGCATGGGAATAAGCACAGCATGTGCTATGTGAGCTTCCCATTCTGCTCTGATAATGTGTTTCTATCTCTGCTTTTCAGAGGGGACTTCCCTCAGCAGTCTGTGTCAAGGTATTAATTAGCCAAAGATACCAATCAGGAGGAACTACACAAAGCATATCTGCAGGATTCTCTGGAGTAACATTTTACATTGCTTTGCCACCTTTCCCAAATAGTTTGAAAGTAGAAGTGTTAGCCTGTGGTAACTGACCTCCAGTTATTGTTATCTCCACTGAAATAAGCAGCCCCAGTGGGCCTGCCTTTTTTTTTTTTAAGAGAAAAAAAAGTTGAATGTCCACAATTCCATCTGAACTGGAATGCCAAAAGGAGATCAATCAGTTTGTGATTTTCATGTAGCTTAGGAAGGGGTCTGAGAAGTATTAGGTGTATTACAGCTCTGGTTCATACATGTTCCTGCTGTTATTGTCACAGAAGAGTAGGAGTTACCAAAAATGTTACCGCAGATACAGCTTATGAGTAAAGAGCTTTTAAACACAAATTATGTTTATATACTTATGCACACTTGGAAGAGACCTGTCAAAACCGATTTGTTAAAAATGAAAGACTAGGAAGTGCAATCTGTGAAGGTAATTCATCAATAAAACAGAAATTCTGCAGCTGAGATTTTATAGAAAGTAGTTGTAGAATTAGAAATACACATTTAACATTCGTATTAGGACAAGGGCTACCTTCTGTCTTGTGTAACTGCAAATCAAATAACATAGTTCATGATCATCTGCCAGCATATTGTGAAGACCATGAGAGGAATATTCTCTCTGTCAGTAGTTTGCTTTCCTATTCCTACCTGGGGGAATACAGTATGTGCAGCTTACCTCCTGGAAGCATTCATGGTGTCTTGGTGATTGAGCTCCCAATGAATCAGGTTTCTTCTTGCTGAGCGGAGAAAGTTGTCCTTTTTTATCCTCTTGTTTCCTTGCACAAAAGAGGAAAATCTTCACTCAGTACCAACAAAAAGAATCTTGCTTCCAAGCCCACCAACTTGACCAACACTAATCTGGCAGCACTTGATAGATGTCAATCAAAGTTCTCAAATTACTGGTTTTCTAAAGCTAATTTTGACATAGCTCTTCAAGAAATTCCCTGGAGCAGCTCACAAGGGAAGTAATGAGTAATCCCGACGACTGGCTTCTTTTAGCTGCTGGGATCCCTTCTTATAAGCAGTAGCTCGCTGCTAAGTGTTGCCAAATTCTTAGCAACACAAGTAATGGACAGATGGAGGGTGCTGGTGACAAAAAATGCAGGATGAGCTGTAACTTAGAACTACTTTCTATTAGATCACAGGCTATGTTTGGGTAAAACTTAGTTCCCTTCTACCACTGTAATTTGGTTTAACTTGCCTGGAGTGAAATTTCAAGCCACCATCGCTTAGATGTGCTCTAATATTCAAATATTTTTATGAAGAAGTAGGTGCCTTCTTTAATAATCACAGGCTTTTATAACACAATCATATTCAATAAGCAGTCAATAAGCAGTATATCAGCACAAAAGAAAACATTTGGACATTTAGGGTTAGGCACAAAGTCACATACATCCTGTTCTTCCCTAATCACCTGGAGCCATAATGAACAAGAGGCTGTGCCAATGCAGAAGGTCTCCCAAAAGCTGGGCATTGCATGATTACCCGGGTTAATGGTGGCTTTAGTATAATAAATCCAATGGTCCAGCAACTGTTTGTAGGGCTCATGAACATACACATTTAAATTTGTAGTTTAGAAAAACAGGCCAAAGCCCTTCTTTCCTAAAACAAAATGTGAACATCATCTTGCATCATCTTTAAACTGCCAAAAAAACCCCAAAACCCAAACCCTTCTTTCTCATTTAAATGTTAGTTTAAGCTTATTGCCACATATCATTGCTGTTAAGACAAATCTGAACTTGTAGTTCTGGTGCATTTTGAAAGGCTTTTGCCTTTCCTTCACATAGCATTTATGTTTTTATATAAATTAAATTGGTTCCTTTAGTTTTAGTAAATCAATTAGCAATTTCCAAATATGTCTTGGGATATCACTTACACTCCAGAAAACTAAGACTGAGCTTGTTTACTCATACTCTCATCTGTCTTAAAACACTTTTGCATAAATAACATTTATAAAAAGAACTATTTTAAATTCATCGAGACTGTGACCGTTTAACAGAAACTCATTGAGTCTCCACTTCCGTTAAGTAAACTCGTCACAAGACTAGTACATCAGTGTGCATTTCAATGGAAGTGCACGTGCTGTTTACTTCTAATGGCTATGTGAGTAAAACTGTGTCACTGGAACCAGTGGAGCTACCGAGGACCTCATATCATTCTTCATTATTAGTAATATATTAAATACAGAAAAATAGAAATATTACAATGACTTGGAGGAAGAAATCCAGACATCAGTGAAGAATTACTGACTTGAATCACTTCTAGCTTTTTCAGACCTGAGACTGAGAATATTGGCAGTTACAACTTTCAGATTCTGTTTTCTTATATAACACATACAGAGTGATAGATGCAGCAATAAAAGCTGTACACTGGATTTTTCCTGTATGTTTTTACTTTCCTTTATATATTTTTTCTACTTCAGTCCTAAGATCTATAGCACAGCCTATTTGCCCTTTCCCCATTAGTTTAATCTTGGTTTTCTGTTTCTTATTGATGCTTTCACTTTTTGACTGAACTAAGCAAAATGAGGTATGTGCAAGCCTCATCTCAGAAGGGTGACATTGTTGATTTTTGGTCATATAATAAAATCTGGAGATGTCCCAACTCTTATTCTTCTATTGTATCATAATTCTCTTTGTGGAAAATTATCCTTCATAATGCCCATGGTCCATTTTTGTTAATACAGCCAGGGACCCTTGCTCAACTTACCAAAAAAAAAATTGCTGTTGAGCAATTTGAGCAAAATTGCTGAGTGAGATATTCTATAGGCTGAAGCAATGCAAGAGAAGAACGGTAGGTAGAATCATAGAACTGAAATTGTTACATCAGTAATAGTAATTCAGGGACCCATGAGAAAAACACCGAAGAGAACAGGTATAAAATCCTGAGATAAAAAGCTGGAAGACAGAAACTCTGTAATAATGAGGATTGGCCTGTTTTATGAGCAACAAAGCCTGACACTTTCCCAGCTGACTGACCACTGCCTGCCAGGAGGGACTCCTGGGGTGATGGGGAGGGAGGAAAGGTGGGAAGTGAGCATGTTAATACTCAGCCTAGTAGCCTATCTGTCCCAGCCTTTTACTGTGCATATTAGCCACAACATAGGATACTTGCTATATACTCAAGTTGCATATCACTGCTTGCAAGACTCCATGAAAGATACCAAAATGTAAGCGGCCAAGTAGAGAAAGGGTTATAAAATATTTTGTCTATGTGAAAATCTGCAAGTCATGATTAATCATTCTTATTCAGCTGCTAGATTCCAGTTCAGTGATTTAGTTAGTAACCCCAAATTACTCAGAACAGAATACATCACTCGACTGCAATTTCTAAGGCCATGCATGTTTTAGGAGAAAACCCTAAGCACGGCACAGCATTAAATGTCAGAAGAAATGTGGAAGAGTGGTGTTTTCCTGATGTTTCTTACTGACATGGGTCTACTTTTAAAACTATTCTGTCGGTCAGCCAATAATTGGCAGTAGCTGGGACAAACATCCAGGAATCTTGCTATTCCTCATGTCAGCTTAGCAACACATAAATATCCCTTTTGGTGCAGTTAAATTACTTGGACAATCATATCCAGCAAAGGTGCGGAGGGAGCAAAGGCAGTCC